TCAGAACTTATTGCGAATGCTTCCAGAAAGGAAGGAGAAGCATCTACTAGTTACCAAAATGACCTTCGCAAGACCCATTGGACGGAAAAGATTAATGTGGAGCTGGAGTATCGAAGGACTCTGTTTTAGACTTCAGTTGTCTTCTTCCGAAGCTCAAACGATGATACAAAATCTGAAACACTGGAAAGAGGAGTAACGCGTCTTTTCCTACGTCTCATAGGGAAAAGTAGTAATAAAATTGACTGGTTCATTGATATCGACGATTTCAATATAACCTGCGGATCACCAGTGGTTCTCTTGTGGAAGCTGAAGTTCCGGATGAAAGTTGTCAGTGCCGTCATGAGGTTCTTCGTTAAAGCCGTTTCTGTATGTCATGCAAATAAAGCTTATTTTTCTAGTCGTGTCATCCCGGAATGTGGCGCTACAAAAAAAGACGATGTGATGAAACTAAGATCATTTCTGAGCGGTACGAAGAGATTGTTAGTGCTTTCCGGCGCCGGCGTTTCGACCGAAAGCGGTATTCCGGACTATCGCTCTGCGAAAATTGGCCGTTACAGCAGACCGAAACCATTAATCGTTGATCATCAAGAATTTATGCATAGTGCTGGATTGCGGCGCCGTTATTGGGCGAGAAACTTCTTGGAATGGACATGGTTCTGCAAAGCAACTCCAAATCGAAGTCACGAGATCATAGCAGATTGGGAGCAGAAAAACAAGCTTTCATGGCTGATCACGCAGAACGTTGACGGTTTGCACTCAATGGCTGGAAGCCAAAAAGTCACAGAACTGCATGGATGTCGTCGTAGGGTAAGATGCATGAAATGCAAAGAGCTTTTTTCTCGCGATGCTGTGCAGACGATGATGGAAGAGCAAAATTTTTCTTGGAACGCGAGATTCTTAAAAGTATCTGCAGAAACTGAGGTGAATCTCACTGAAGATGAGGAATTTAATTTCAACGCACCGTCCTGCCCAAAATGCGGTGGTTTCATGAAGCCTGACGTTGTGTTCTTCGGCGATAGTGTTCCTGAGGAAATAATGCTCTTCCTCAAAAGTAAAGTTCATGAAGCTGATAGCATGCTGGTTCTCGGCTCATCGCTAATGGTCAACACTGGTTTTTATTTTGTTCAACTTTTAAAAAGTAGCGACAAACCACTCGCCATTGTTAACATAAATGAAACCAAGGCGGACCATTTTGCTGATGTGAAAATATCTGCTGTATGCGGTGAAATTCTAACTGCCATTGGTTGCGACTGGTGACACACTGACCCTTAAATATATGACTTTCATCCAGCTCATAATGTGGAACTTTGTATAATTTAGGGTTGGTATGTTAAATATGAAAACCATTGCATAGATTCTGACGACGTTGATTTCAGACAAAGCTTATCTTTGTCCTGTCTGTGATCTGTTCTTTGAGGGATGACGCTTAATTTAAAGGGTTGCTTTTAGGAAATCTGTCTTTTCATTTGCACCAACGCATCTTCGAAAGTTCATGGGTGCATACCAGCAGAATATCATGACTTTTTAAACGATTGGATCTGTCATACCCAATACATCATTGTTTAAGGAATACTTATGATTCGTTGGATATTAGTGGCTTAAGATTTGAGTTAAAAACCAGGTACATCTGTCTTGAATGCATTACAATTTCTTCAAGACCTTCATCTTTCGTTTTAGGCTGACTTTAGCGGTCTGTCGCATAAGTTGTTTTACAGTCACTGATTGCATACAACCCTGGTGTTAAGTCTCATCAGCTTGATACGATGAAACACCACTGTACTTTTTCAAATGTATGTAAGTTGTGGACTTATGTGTTTTTCTCTGCTGATTGCTCTGAAGCACAACGGTTAATTTTATGTGAATTCCTGAATGCAGGAAGAAAACCTTACTCAGATTCCACACTCAGCAGGTGAGGTAAAGAAACCTGCTTGTTTCGACGGTTGTCATGAAGGAAGAATATCGATTTATCTGCTGCTGTTGCAATATATTTTAAGTGTTTATTTGACAACTGGGTTTATTTGCGTTTTACACCCTGTGCTGAATTTTAGTCAACTCTCAGGAGAATCAGGATATTTGGAAAACGCACAGCGCATGCATCAGACAGCATGACTCCAGTCTCGCAGGCACTGATATAACCATGTCAGAACATCATGCTTTCGCTGTTATTCGCAGATCAGCTACCTGCTGTTTATCTTTCGGCAGATTGCATCGAAGCAGTCTAGGATAAATTCATTGCTCAGGGAAACTGTCGGTTAACAAGAAAGATGTTGCAGTTGGAACCAGAACTCGCATTTTGAACTTACTCCGTGAAAGTGCGCTACTGTATTCTTCCTTCTTGTCAGGGACCCGTAAAGACGTAGGTTTGTGAATGCTTTGTTGCTTTTTATCTGTCTGAAATATTGGATTGATAACTAACACTGCGCCAGACAGTAGAAGTTTCTCCAGCTTCCTTCCTAAATTCATTTTGCAAATTATTCGCAGCCTTATTCATTCATATGGATAGGAAAGAACAATATGCAGACCTGAAGGGAAAGTTATAACCTTTAGGATGTCGGTCTCGCGTACAGATTCATGAATAGTATCATTTGCTGTGTTCTTTTAATGATGCATATGATACATCATTCATTTTCTTTTCCATATCACCAGTCAGCAGCCATATTGTTGTTTTACGCAGATCTCGTATTGCTGCTTAATGTGTAGACAAATTACCGGACTCTGGCACCAACACAGCCAGTGAGGTGAAACGGGCGATGATGATAATAAGAATCTGCCCGAAACATTCCTTTACTGGTACCGACCACAGATGCGCTG